TTTCCTTGTGGTGTAAGTGATCATGCATGTGCTCTGTTAACGTCCGCTATTAGATTCACTTAAGCCTAAACAATAATGATCCGGGGTGTGGTGAATCCATATGTCAGCACTCACGTCGCCAGATTAACAACAGGTAACAATGTTAAGACATTGATGTTGAACGCGAATAGGTTACCACGAAAATGAAATCAAGAAAGAAGTGAGTGCAATATTTGAAACTGAATACAACAATCCTGCTGAATGCGCGAGTTCGCCATGACCGTTATTGTCTCCAACCACTGATGTGAACTGTCCATAGTCCCCCATCCAAGAAAACGTCACGCATCAGTCTGACAAAATGTCTCAGTTAGTTTCTTCGTGCTTTTGTGCCACGTCATCGACTGGCCATCGCGTGCTTTTGCCCAACTTGGTGCAGTGGTTGGTGGCATCCGGTTTCGGAAGTGACAGGCACACCCGAAACCGGATGCCACCAACTAATTGGCAGTCAGGAAGGATTAGTCGGGTTTATGGGTTGTGTGGGCAGACAGCTTCCCGGCTGCCCAGTCCGAGGAAGAGAGTTGACTCAAGGGACCCCATCCTGAGCCCCTTGGTCATAAGGGCCTGACCCGCAACGCAGCGGCACCGTTCACGCAATTTGGTGAATACGGAGAACGTTGCTACCCAAGTGACTCATTCGCTTCTTTGTGTTCGGTAGCAGTCTACAGAGAAGCTGTTGGCCAGCAAGGGCTGTTCATCCGTCCTCCGTTAGGTGCTCACCTCTGGTTATAGATGTGTGTGGTCCGTGGCCCTATAGCCGGTCGCATTGGCTCTGACACAGCGCCATACTAGCTCTTTTGGTATTTGATGGAAAGCCAAGTGATCAGCCCAGAACTTTCCACGCTCTTAGACACTGCCGCTTATTGTCCGCTGGATTTTGACTGGGGCCCTGCTCTTAGGAGGGTAACACGCTGCTACTTGTATTTGGTGTTCTAGTCAATTCTGTTCTAGAATCGTTTCTCATCTATGGTTGCCATGTACTATTGTGCGTTCAGTCGTACTAAAAAGAACGTTTCTGGCCTAAGAGCTACAATTCGATCACACCTGATGAGACTGTGAATACCAGCACGACAGATATTGATGCCAAACTCAGCCTCCGGTTGGTTCCATATGTCGATAGTTCTAAAACTTGTCCATTCATGTTACCAGTCGGATCCTGGGGATTTGTTCGAGATCGGTTACATACATTTATACTAGGTTTGGCGCGTCCACGCTGAGTTGCAACTCATCACTTAAACGGTATACTGGCCGCATGCAAATTGCATCAGAACACTAAGCAACGACTAATATCTTTCCTCCCAAGCAGCCATCGTACTCAGCACACTAAGAAGGAGTATGCGCACTCCACTCGTCTGTAACATTTTCCTAATCTCTGTTTTTTACATATTCCTCCAGTGTACACTCATGTTTCGGTGGATATTAGAGCAGCGTATTTCTCTGGAGATCACGGGTGTGTGCATACCGTCACCCAGTCAAGCTGGTGATGAGTGCTGAAGGACGTACAGGCGACGTCCATGTAGGAGGCAAAATGTGACAGTTAAGAATATCCGTTGCTTTGGGTGTGGATGCGGATTTCGCATTGATCGGCGAGCTGAGTGATTAGGTCGAGGGCGTGTCGTTGCTATACCAGGCAACACCATCAGTGCGGCCTTAAGGGCCTGGTTTGCAGAGCCTCGTGTGCGATGACAAAATCCAAATGTTTACTGATGTCCGACTTCCTTGAACCTACGTCCTTATCGGCTTGTTTTTTCCCGAGAATTTCGACGTTCTCCAGATCGAGTTGATGGTTTTTCATAATCCATAAGCACGAACATCAATGAGTTCTCGTCGTGACAGCGAATGGTTATGCTATGTTTCTTGTGGTCATGTGTCAAGTTTTCTTCATGTTTGTCGATGTATGTGAGAGGCGACTGCACCGTCTGTGCTGATCACAGGGGTCTCATCCTGACGCCTGTAGTGACAAAATCCCTCTTTACTTCTGTTTCATTCTAGGATGGCGCTGTATATCTGCCGTATATCCGCTTTGCAACGGGTGCTAGAACAGCGTCGCGCGTGCTTCAGACGGGCGATTTCCGAGTTCCTTAATTTCTGGACCGTGTTCGACTCAGTGGATCCTCTTCGACATGCTTACTCGGAATTCGTTCCTCTTAAATAGTTGGACATTCTACTCGAGCACCACTGGTCCGTGACAACCATTGACGTTCGTTAGGGTTGTCCCACTTCCGTTCGATTCGCGTCGAAACAGTCATGGAGTGGATGTAGACATTGAACTCTTGCTTGGTGGAAAACTGATTGTTCTGCGCTATGCGTATGTTATCCTTCAGCTAATTAACAGTTGTGAAGCAGCATAGCTAGTTTTAAAGTGGTCCCTTCGTCCAGCGTATGCTACACACCTTCAAAATACGGTGTTGTTGCAGGACCACTGGCCAATCGGTGACCTATTGACTCCTGATATCGAGAAACTTAGCTAGGTCATCAGCAGCGATGTGGCTGCTGAACTCAGTTCGCGTATTGTGAAGGCTAGAACTACCTTCATGAGTCTGACATCTACTGCCATAGAAGGGCATTCTGCTCTTAAAGACCGTGTGTACAAAGTTACCGCAACGACCGTCCTATTCAATATAACTGAGAATTGGTTCCTTTGATCAGATGATCTAAAGCACCTAGTCTTCTTTGGTAATCGTTTCTTGTGAAACATTGCTGGTGTCTGATGGCATCAACGTATCCGCACCGATAAGTTGTAGGAAAAGGTCAATGGTACACCGACATTCCGTGCTGACCTTTCGATGCCACACAACCACTACCAGTCAGCGACTTCGCCCGAATCTACGCGGATTCTAACCGGCGACCTTAAGAGTACACATCAGACGTGCAATCCCTTTGGCCATCGGCTTACATCTGCAGGCGTGAATAGTCAGGTAATTTCTCGAAAGCATCAAATGACATTGAGGTATTTGCGTTGGCTTGGGTGCGTGAAACGTTTAATTTGGCACCGCTTACTGGTGAGGACGGATGTGAGGTGGTACAAAGATAAAGTTGACTTCGTAACTGAAGATAAAGTCACTGATGACTAAACATCGCTGTTGATCCGTCTCGCCTTCCAGACTGGAGTCCGCGTGACTTGCTTTGTGCTTGGCTCGAGATTTCACATGACATTACTCACAGTCGTCACCCGTGACTTGCTTGCTGTCGTCTAATAGTGTGGCTGCTTTTTAAGCGTGGTGTTAGGTTATCTGTGTACTATTGGCTGGTTATGACGCGGGGCAATGAAAGCCGCAAGATTGCTGTCCCCTTGATGCCAACTTGTCTTTACACCCAGCCAGCTGTTTGTAATGACATGTTATTGCTACGGCGTAGGCACCTTTATCCTGCATATTTATATAAGACATTCCGCACTAGGTCCCCCTTCTCTTTCTTGCTCATTGTGTTTGTGTACGACAGTGAAGCATCAGTTCAGATTGCTGATGCACGGCTGTTGTTTATCATGATAGTGCCCACTTCGGTTGCATTTTAATATATCTATGCATATATGCTGTTTAGTCTCACCATGTCCAACAGCATGGAGAGATTGCGTCCACTCTCCTTATCTGCTTGGGCTGCTAACTGGTCAGCCGCTGCCCAGTCAGCATTTTTGTCTTCTTACGAGTGGTCATCTACTCCATTCACTCTTCCTCAGCTACCGCACCTCAGTTTAATTTGTGAAACCTCTCAACATAACGACTTTCCGTTCCTGTGGCTTGCTTAAATTGATTAATTCCGCGGCTCGCCTTATACGTTAATGATCTCGACTTCGTTCCCTCGGATTGTCGTCCTCAGATTAAGAACGATATTAGTTCAGTCCCAAGCACTGAAGTGTGGGTTATCTATTTTCCACGACTCATCTCCGAATGTCAATGAAACTGAGAATACGTTATATTCTAATGTGTAGGGATTGATATATGTGGGCAAAAGTACTCTAGCTAGATTGTTAATAGTGACACGCGGGAGGTCGGTTATAGGGCGCCATCAGCTCCATGTCCTCATCGCACCGACCGGGCTCACAGATCATCCATCCAGAAACCCCTATTTGCAAAGGCAGTGCTTGTGAGACTAACCAAATCTCAATGGACTCTTCCATGATTTTCAATACGTCAACGGCTTCGACCAACTGAGTACAGTGACCGGTTATTGCACGCACTTATCTACACTTCCGATGGCATGCAAAAGACAAGGTCTGACTAACGCTAGCGGTTCAGGTCTGTCTGCGCCGCTGTGCATTATTAGGGTGTTTTCTCAAACACCAACTGGCGGACTTCCGTATTGCTCCCACCAGCCACGATAAATCTCTCGCGATAATCTATGACCAGTATCTGTGTTTTAAACGCGAAACGGCCATGTTTTTTAAATCCTAATGACCAAGATAGGCACGCATGCGATCATGGACGAGTGATCTCGTTAAGTTCCGCTTGTGTAACGGTGTTTGGAATATTGGCTGGTTTCCAAACGCGTGCCACGTTGCAGGTCACATTGTTCAGTGTCTTTCTCCCAACGTTTCTCCTGTTTTCCGTCTCACTCGTGCTTTCCACTTTGATTCGTCTTTTCTGTTTTGTGATGTTATTTTGTAGCGTATACATGCTCCCGTACTTCCGCGTATGAAACCGCATCAACCCATTTCATCATCAAAATTGCTAAATGCTATAGTTATCCTCCGGGCTCATAGGCGGTAGCACAAAGTCTGTTTACCATTAGCTACCGATCGGCATAAATCACTGGCTGCGAAATCGATGAGGGAGATAATAGTCCTTAGACCACTCTTCCGTGGTGATACAATAAATCGTCGGGCACGTATGGTTTTAATTGGTCAGGATTTTAAGCTGATGTCGATACTGAACGTGATGAGTTTTTGTGGCACCTTGTATCTCGCGTGCTCACTAATTGCAATGAATGTGTGTGCTTATCTTCCTCTGGTGTTTCATTCTTTTCAGTCCGTTGGTCTCAGTCGTGCCTCAGTACGACATCTCGGAACCCGAATCGATAGGTACCCTTTGCTTGTTTGTTCTTATGTTTGAATATTTGTAGAATCAAAAGATGAACTGAAGCAACGCGCTGCTTCCACTGAGCCTCAAGAACATCACTTATTTAGAAATCGGGATTCCCCGCACTCAGTCAATAAAGTCTCTCCAGAGGCTGCATCATCTGGGTGGACGAAAGCTGATTCGAAGGACTTAGATTCCTACATCAACGAATCTCCACCAGAGTATGTTCCTGTTTCACTCCTTCATTTTATCAGTGATAACCAAAGGGTTAACGATGTCGTCACTACTGGGAAAAAGGAGAAAAAACACAAAAAACATAAACACAGGCATTCGGAAAAAAGGTGCATATTCGGTCTTCTTAAAACTAATATCCTTATGTAGAAAGGCGAAGAAGATTCGCCGTATATTGAGCAATCTTGACGAAAACTCACACGAGTGGATAGCCAATCAGATTCGATCTGGCCTGGACTATGAAGAGGCTGTTTCAAAGCTAGTTAGCATCCTGCGCAAGAAGGATAAAAAACGCAAGAAACACAAGAAGGAAGCCAGAGAAGCAAAGAAGCGAAAGAGAGAACAAGCGGCTACTTTAATTCCCAACAGTCCTCTTCGGCTTTAGCCCAACTTTTACATGTACATTTATTGTATATAGCTCTTGTGTAATGTAAATATGGCTTCCCGATGCCTGCTACTTTTTATTAATAATTGCGGCTTCATGTGGTTCTAATCTCCCGCACCACTCCAGTCATGTGTTTTGGTCAAGGTTTAATCTGGTGATTGCTTACAGTCGGTTGTCCAATTGATCTGCTTCGAATACACGATTCACCTTTTCTTTGGATCTTTTTTCTCCACAATGGCTCTAAGCTGTGCTATCTGCTCCACATTTTTATCGAGTATATTATTGGGGGGGGGTCCTTCCCGCCCACGTTGTTTGTTTTTGCATTCCCTGCAGAGCAGTTTTATTTTCGAGTACTGTGGTTTTTACTGATGCTGAGAGACGACGAACCTGTAGACTGATAACCTCAAGTGGGTGTTGCGTCTAGCAGGCCACGAATAGGTTCTGAGTTTAAGCTCTACCATCGTTCCACTGCAACACTTACCCAAGCAACCAAAGAGCGATCCCAGATCTGCACCCAGCGGACGGTGATCGCCGCTCAACATCGTGTTTCTCGCGTTTGGCATACTTTAAGCGTTCTTCGATGATATACCGTAATCTGGCCACCATTTTGATGTCAATGTCCCAAGTACTACTAACTCAAACTGATCATCACTGCGCTCGTGAGGTTAGCCAGTTCGTAACTGGTATGGCAGTGGAAGATGAGCCAGGCTATTTCATAGTCAACTGTCAATCATGCAGGTCTGCGGCTGTCACCCATGTCGGTGGCACTAGCTGCTGGCATCCTGAAGTCATGGGGGCGGAACCCGACAGGGAACCGTTGGGAGGAGCAGCACTGACGAGACCCAGAAGCTCGAAACGCCGTATTCTGGTGTTTTTCCAGACTAGCTTAAGTCTGCTGATTGGGAGTGACAATGATCAATTACCTGAATTATACTAAAATCCTCACTACTACTCATCAACAAGTGTGTGTGACTTGGGCTGAAACGCATTCCCTTGTTCTGCCGTCTTGTTCCGCGTACTAACTAAACGCAACCTAAGCCCAATACGTATCCGAGAATGAAGGCTGATCAAAATCAAGTTTTCCATCCACACCCCGGTCGCACAAACCATGCTAGTCGCGCGAGTCGGTGTACTAGTATTCGCAACACGTAGTCCAGCCATCGGGGTATGGTGCGTGATATGATGAGGCTGAGCGGTTCACTCGCTCTTCCTACACGAAATACGCGGCGCCAAACACGTTCATTGCTCACGACGTGTTCCCACTAGTCGTGAGTTAATCTGCGTTACAAGCCCCTTTATGTTTGTTGAGCTGATGGACCAGGTTTCGCGACTGTACAGGAGAGCCGAACGGACGGCTACTTTGTAAACTCTACCCTTCAGGGCGAGAGTGATGTCACGCTGCGCTCCAGATGGCGGAGATTAGCAGAAGCTCCTCGAGCTTTGGCCATACACTTCGTGGTCTCATCGTTTATTCCACAAACACTAATATAGCTGCCTATATATTTGGGTGTCTAGATGAGTTGTAGGTGATCTTCTCCAAGGGTCACTACAGGAGTGGGTCCCGGCCAATCTTGGTGACGGGCTTTGCAATTCGAGGGTGCAAAGCATAGCCCGGAACGATTTACAGCCAGTGCTGCTTGGCATGTTTGGGATCTGCCACAGATCAGTAACTGTCGTTGGCATAGTCCAAGTCAAGAAGTCGTTCACCTTGGAAAAGCTTTACACCTTGTGCAGTGAACGCAGTTTCCCTGACTACGACGATGGCAACCCAATCTCACACAGGTGGAGATATAGAATGGCGGCGGCTGTTTTCTATAACGCCTCACTTTACCTGAACTATGTGCGTAAATCCATCTGATAACGCTTATTTGGATACATCTTTTTGGATCACACAGTCCCAAACGGCACATCGATCTATCAAATTGAAAGCACTTAGCGTCGAGAAACACGACGATAGTTGACCACAAATAAATATTGCGTTGTTTCAACTAGTGACGTGAATATGTGGTCCAGTACAGCTCCGACTTTGACGAAGGTCAGTTTGTTCTTCCACAATCTGGCTTTCACGTGTGCTAGCCAATCTATAGCGAACGATAGAGGCAAGTAAATTAGAAGCAAATGAAATCAGGCCGATCCCCTTATGAGGTCTTTGAAAAATGAGGCTATCACAGAGTGGCTCCAGTCCGTTGGGACAAAGTCCTGCTTTCATAGGTTCACTATTAACTATGCAAGTCATCCACAATAATTGGTCTCCTTAATTTGAATAGGACTGGAGGAAGTCCGTCTGCTCCTTTGGCCTTATTTAACTTCGGCAGTCTGATCTCACGTTCGACTTCTACTGAGAGTGGATCCCAATGGACGGCAACGAATCTGCTTTGTTTGATTAAATTACTTTTCAAAGTGTTCGACCCAACGCTCCAAGCGTTTTGACAAGCTGTGTATTGGTTGTTAACTCTCGTCACACTTGGGATAACTCCCGATAGTTCCTAAGGGCAGCAGCCATCTCCATCTCCGATGCACGGTAAGACCACCAGGCGTCGCGGTCGCTCTCCAAGCTAACATGCAGTTCTGCTCTGACGTCTGCAACTCTCGTGCTCGTTTTCAGTCGGAACTCGTCGGTGAGCATCGAGGAGTTCCAGAGACCGCGTACTTTTGCGTCAATCACTGGGCTGGTGGAAGCGCTGTCTCTGTTCTTCGGGTATTACATCAGAACTTGGTGCTCGAGAGAAATAGACGAGCATTTTCGCGCAGTTGTAGCAGTCGCTCGTCGTTATCACTACAGGAGACGAAAGTCGCACTAGCGGAACTTCGTGACTAACAGCTTAGATAATTCGGGAGAAAACTAATAAACGTAAATGGGCTATGAGTAGAACGCTGAACTTTTTGGGAATGTGTTTCTTGTGTTCAAAATAGCCTAGCTACCATTCATGCCACGAGTCATGTATGCAAAGCCTACTTCCTATTCAGTCTGGATTGTGAAAAGACTATAGTAATTGTTATCGGAATTCTCCTTCAGCGGAAAATATTCCCATAAATACTTTCTGAGTTGTTTTGTGCGCCAGTATTTGTAGACGATTTGCGTAGAACAGGATAGGGTTATTATGATAATGAAAGTATTAAGACCACTTTTGATGAGCCGACTGCTTAAACCTATACCTGGGGATTATTTAGGCTATGCACTCCTGGATTAAGATGTGTTGAACAGCATCTGCGCCAGTGGATGTTAAGTGTTCAGGCAAGTTAAAGTCGAAGGGTAGTGTTGAGAGACAGCGGAGTTGTGAGGTACTTGATAGGGTTTGGGTGTCCAACTTGCCGATGCATTTGTACTTCATCATGCGATTGACATTGGATTCAGGTATTACCGAAATGAATTGTTAGGAACTAAGGTGGAGTGGCGAAGAGGTTGATGAAACATAAGTCTACTGGTGGTTTCACCAGCCAAGTACTATTGATGGGAAGTATCTGGTTTTTCGATTTAATTAACGACGCTTTGCTGGGACATCCCAGTAGTGTAGTTAACGGTTCCCAGGAATCTGTCAGACTTTTTGACTTAGGGTCATGATGAGTCTGATATGAAGTCCTCTCCATCATTTTGTGTTTAGCAGGTTGGACTACTATATGGCTTGACAGTTTTAGTAGGTTGTTCGTTTCAGCAACTTTGGGATTCTGTTGCGCTCTATAAGATTATGATGGTGATGCGTCGATTGTCTAGGACATTTAAAAAGACGAAGCACCTGATTGCGAACACGTAGGCATCCAATCACCATAATTCTGCTGGTAAATAAGGATGAGATAGCCTGTGTACAGGATGTCTAGGTTATGGCTATGACGATACCCATACCCATGACTTACTCTTGGATCTTATTCGAATCGACAGCGATTCAGGAAAAAGCGATCGCGATTCGAAGTCCAGGACTGCGCGAATATGTGCCTAGCTGTTCGAACAACCACATGCAGGTGAATCCATGCGGGCAGCTTAGTTTCCATGGGTAAATGGTAAAGCTGAATATTTTGCTTGCATTTTGCTAACATACCTAATGAACCGGGGAATCGTCGGGTTGCTGCGAAACGGTGCCGATGCACTATTAACATTGTGTATATAGATGGGAGCAAACTTGTGGCAGTTGACAAAGTTTTCCGTCACCGGTCGAAATGATCTTGTAATTCTTAGATCACCAGTTCGAATCTGCGTAGGTGCAAGTGACCTCGCGGTATACTCAGCCCACCGGTGCTGGTCGCATCGTTAAAATGTGTCGGCGTACCGTTGATGAGTTTATAGATTACTTCACGATTGTCTTCCACTGGTCATGTGCAGTTTGAGAGGAAATGATTTGCTTTCTGAGGGAGTGTGTGAACAATATCAAGATTCACCCGGACTGACTGGCCATGTAAATTCAGTGTCTATTACGAAAGTGAAGGGTCAAATTCTTTTGTCCGTGATCTGGTGAGGCTGGTAGGTGCGTCTGCAGCACAGTGGCACTTCATGCTGGTGCTTTGCTGCCCCGAATCCGCAAGCGGCTGTACGCGAGCTAGGACACTGCATGGGCGCTCACATATCTTGGATCGTTGACTTGAACGCAAACTTACGAGTTTACGCCTAGACTATTACTACAACAAGGAGCAGCGGTATCGGTGCGTTGGAAACATTCCCACAAGGTGTTTACGATGGAAAGCAAACCCCTAGGTGAAAATATGGTCAGCAGCCGTATTTGGCCTGATGATGGGATGAACGGGTTAGGTGTGGACGATGATCTCGGGACGGCTGTAGCCCGCAAACAGGGATGCTATGCATTTTGCACGTGGCATGGTTGGTTGTAACATCGCACGAGACTGCGAGACGATGGAAACGATGTGGTTTCCTTAATGAGGTCGGACTTTACACTGTCGATCGTGGCAACTTTGTGTCGGCCACCGCAGTTACTTGTAACTGATTACTCTGAAGGTCCTATGTACGGCGATTGCATAGGATGTCTAACACCGTGTACACTTGGGTGCAACTAGACAGTTTTTCGGGCGCGTGCAGTCGTGTCTTCCGTAATCGTGAAGCAGGTGGTGCAGGTCACGCATCTGGTGAGCCAACCGATCAGTATAACGTCTGTAGTCAAAGGAGGAACTTAGTGGCGCTGGCGCTACCAGCTGTCCGGGAAAACGCGGTGTGCAGTTGTAGACTAGCTGCGCTGGGGTCGCTTCGAAATCGATCTTTACAGTGATCCTTAAGCCAAGAGGGACAATGGGGAGGTTTCGCACCAAGAGGGGCCTACGTACATTCGGATCGATGCCTTTAGCTGGCGTTAAGACCGC